TACACAGATGTCATTAAGCTGTTAAATAAATCTGTAAAATGTATGTGTGTTTGTTTTTATTTTGATTTTAGAGTCTTCTCAGATCACCCAATAATGAAGATTCTGTCGTCATTTACGCATCCTCAGGTTGTTTGGACACAAAGAGGAATATTTGATATTTTTATTCCTGTGTTTAACAAAAAAAAAACATTTTTAACAGAGCTGGAACAACCTGAGGGTGAGTAAATCAAGATAGAATTTTCATTTTTGTGTGACCTAAAATTGCTTTTAAATTTTACAGCACCAAACTGTTAAATTACAGTAATCCGGGATATAACTGTAACTTTACAGTTAAATCAGGTATTTAAACTGCAACCTACTGCTAAATCACAGTAATCGTTTTGCAAATTCACAGTAAAATATAGTTAATTCTACAAGATAATACTGTGAAATCACAGTAACGGACTTTATTATCTACTGTAAAGTTACAATATATGGTTGTAATTTCACAATAATTTAATGTGACAAAACCACAGTAAATTACTGTGAACTACCTCACAATAATTTACTGTGAATTTACATACAGTAATTTACTGTGAAAGTAATGCAATTATTAGCCAGTAATTTACTGTGAATTTAAGGTCAAATTTTTTACAGTGTAAATAAGTAAATGAACAAACAAACAAACAAACAAATTAGTAAATAAATGCAAAAATTATTTAATTGATACAAAATAAATAAGTAAACAAACAAAGAAACAAATAAATAAATAAATAAATAATTGCCAAAAATGTATTAATTAATAAATACAAAAATAAACAAGTAAACAAACAAAAAACTGAACAAACAAAACTAATAAACAAATAAATAAATGCAAAAATTAAAATAAATATATATTTAAAAAAATGTTTAAATAAATATTTATTTAAATAATACAAAAATAAACAAGTAAACAAATAAACAAACAAACACATGAATAAAGAAAGAAAGAAAGAAAGAAAGAAAGAAAGAAAGAAAGAAAGAAAGAAAGAAAGAAAGAAAGAAAGAAAAAAGAAAGAAAGAAAGAAAGAAGAAAAAAATGTAAAAATGTATTTATTAATACATACAAAAATAAATAAGTAAACAAACAAACAAGTAAATAAATAAATAAATAAATAAATAAGTAAATAAAGGCAAAACTTTGTTAATTAATTAATATAAAAAAAATAAAGAAGTAAACAAACAAATAACTGAACAAACAAATAAATAAATGCAAAAATAAATGAATTAATTAATAAATACAGAAATAAATAAGAAAACAAATAAAGAAATAAATAAATGCAAAAATCTATTATCAATAATACAAAAATAGATAAGCAATCAAACAAATAAATAAATAAGTGCAAAAATCTATTAAATAATACAAAATAAATAAGTAAACAAATGAATGAACAAACAAGCAATCAATAAATAAATGAGTAAATATTTTCCAAACATGTTCAAAAGATTTGCATCAAATGCGTCAAGAAGAATAAATCAAGGGACATTTACAGAGAGCCAGAATGAGTGTATTAATCACAGTGTTCATCTGTCCTGCTTTACTAATGTCCATCTCTCTCTCTCTCTCTCTCTCTCTGTGATCACATGAGCATCTCTTCATGATCTTCCTCTTTTCTGTGTGTGTTCACTGGAGCAGAAGAACATCAGAGGCTCACAAAATCCCATTATAACACACACACACACACACACTTCCTGTCTTAAAGGGAAGCGGCCGCTGCGTCTCTAAGAGTCAATGAGCCATTGCCATGGGGATGCCAGACTGACCCACTGACAGAAAACACACTATAACACTGATTGCATCTCTCTCTCACACACACACACACATACACGCACACACACACACACACACACACACACACACACACACACACACACACACACACACACACACACACACACACACACACACACACTGTTTGAACTGTGGTAGAAACCGGAGCACCCGGAGGAAACCCACACCAACACGGGGAGAACATGCAAACTCCACACAGAAACACCAACTGACCCAGCCAAGACTCGAACCAGCGACCTGAGTGCTGTGAGGTGACAGTGCTAACCACTGATCCACCATGCCGCCCAATAATGGAGGCGAATGAGGCAAAAACAGCCACCAACATAAGCAAAGTCGATCTGAACACTACAGCCTGACTCTTCTGTGGCTCTTCATCATGTAATAAGACTGACATCTAATGAAGGGTTGCTATTGTCTAGATCAGCAGTGCCAAAACTCAGTCCTGGAGGGCCGGTGACCGGCAGATTTCAGCTTCAACCCCAATTAAACACACCTGAACCAGCTGATCAAGCTCTGTAGGCATCATCAGCCAGGTGTGTTGAGGCAAGGTGAAGCTAAACTCTGCAGGATTGAGTTTGGGCACCCCTGCTCTAGACTGATGTATCTAGAACTCTCCTCTCACTCAGACTGGATCACAGAGCTGTACTCACTCCAGGAACTCTGTGATGTATTTGCGGCTGCACTTGGACCAGGACCAGGGGCTGGTGTCGTAGTTGAGCGTCGGAGCCATGACGTGATACTGGTGTTTGATTCCAGCTTCTCGACACTTGGGGCTGTCATCATGAGGCATGTTGAACCTGCACAACACACACACACAAACACACACATGCAATTATACACACATAAAGACACACACACACACACACGCATGTATGCACTTGTACAGCTTCATTTATGTGGATTATTATGTGGAATATTATTAATATTGTCTTTTTTTCAGAAATTATGAGTCAAAATGAAGAGAATTTTTCATTAAAACAAGCAAAATAATTTCTATTTTATAAAATAATCTTGTTTTTAGGAATTTATTTTTATTAATTTACTGATTTTGACTCATTAAAAGTGTAAACTCAGTGTGTTGAAGTGTGTTTATGAGTTCATTTTGAACTCATTGTTCTGATGAGAGGCGGATGAATATCTGCCATTCTTACACACACACACACACACACACACACACACACACACACACACACACACCGGTCTCTTTGATACACACACAGCACAGTCCCACAGCACAGATATCTGATGTTCAGATTCATCACTGATGCAGAAATCTGGATCTTCCTCACGGCTTCTGTCTCGCTTTTAACATGCATACAACACACACACACACTGAAAGCTGAATAAATACGCGTTTCATTCATCAGTGTGTGGTTTGATAGATTAAACAGTATTTGGCAGAGATATGGCCAAATATAAAGCTGCTGTATTTGAGTGTTTGACTCTTCTGCATCATTAAAACAGCATCACATGTGTGCAGATATTCAGAAACATGCTCAGTGAACATTCTTGTTTATCTTGAAACACAACGCTGAAGTCAGATATTCTGCTGTGAACATGTGCGCTACGTGTCGCATCTGTCTTTGTTTTGCTCTTTTAACCCGCCCAATGTCAGTCCAGCCAATTATATTTCAGCAATCCAGGTTGCCAGATGGTGGAAAACAGCGTATTTCATTCATTCATTCAGTCAGGAAGACTCTCAAAGCATGCGTCCGTGACCGAAACATGACCTCTGGTGGACAGTAGCAGACTCTGAAATGAGACGCAGATTCAGAGTTCCACATGAGGTGGATATTAATTAGCAAATCATATTAATTGGGCTGTTTGCACCAGATGAAACTTGACTAAACAGCCATTCAGAAGCATAGAATAGTGCACTCACTGCACTCCAGCACAGTGCTGAGCTTTATAATCTAATGAACACATATTAAAGCTCTTTAACATGAGTAAATGTAGATGCTGAATCACTGATATGTGTTGTTTTGCACTGAGTCTCAGCTCTGAAGTTCAGTTTCAGACGCTTTGTTTTAATCTCCAGATCTGAGCTGAACTATCTGCTGCTGCTTTTAGTAGTACGGCAATAAATGTCCTGTCAGATTCACATTATCAGCATTTAACACTGAATCAAGCACATGAGCTGTAGCTGAGCTGAGCATTGCCAGTTTTCTGTTGTTCAGCTGTGAGATATAGAAGCTGTTTCTGATGTATATATACATATTTCAGGTGTTGGTTAGGACAAAAAAACTCCTTTTAATATTGTAAATATTACTTCTGTCGAGGAGAGGCAGTGGCACAGTAAGTAGTGCTGTCACCTCACAGCAAGAAGGTCGCTGGTTCGAGCCTCAGCTGGGTCAGTTGGCAATTCTGTGTGGAGTTTGCATGTTCTCCCTGCGTTCGCGTGGGTTTCAACCACCGTCCAAAGACATGCGGTAAAGGTGAATTGGGTAGGCTAAATTGTCCGTAGTGTATGAGTGTGTGTGTGAATGTGTGTGTGGATGTTTCCCAGAGATGGGTTGCGGCTGGAAGGGCATCCGCAGGGTAAAAACTTGCTGGATAAGTTGGCGGTTCATTCCGCTGTGGCGACCCCAGATTATTAAAGGGACTAAGCCGACAAGAAAATGAATGAATGAATACTTCTGTCGCGTGCCGTTGATTTTATTTAGAACTGTTGATCTCGTCAATCTGGCAACCAGCGCTTGCGTGTGTTTTGAATCAAGCGTGCAATACCTATTTCAACCACTAGTGTTACACACTGCACCTTTAAATATTGAGAAAATCTCCTTTACAGTTGTGTGAATGAAGCACTTAGCAATGAATATTATTGATCACAAACTAGGTTTATAAACTAGGATGATCATCTTTACTTAATCTAGTGATTTCTGGCATAAAAGAAAAATAGATTATTTTGACAGATCTGTTTTCTTCCACAATTCCAACAAATATACCCGAGCAACATCAGGCTGGGTCACATTAAAAACATTAGATATGATCTTTGACTTTGACATATGATGAATAAGCGAATGAATGAATGAATGAATGAATAACTCACACGTGTCCAAGCTCATGAGCGATGGTGAAGGAGGCGCTCAGACCGTTCTCCTCACTGATGGAGCAACTCCTGTACGGGTCACACATGGTGCCCAGCTCCGCCAGACCTACACACACACACACACACACACACAGAGAGAGAGAGAGAGATCAGTTAAACATCACTTTGGGAAATATTTGAAAAATAATAAAAATTTTCTGATATTAATGAAGGGCGGCGCGGTGGCACAGTGGGTAGCTCTGTCGCCTCACAGCAAGAAGGTCACTGGTTCGAGTCCCTACTGGGTCAGTTGGTGTTTCTGTGTGGAGTTTGCATGTTCTCCCCGTGTTGGCGTGGGTTTCCTCCGGGTGCTCCGGTTTCCCCCACAGTCCAAACACATGCGCTATAGGGGAACTGATCAACTACACTGACACTAGTGTATGAGTGTGTGTGTGAATGAGTTTCTCAGTGATGGGTTGCAGCTGGAAGGGCATTCGTTGTGGAAAACATATGCTGGAATAGTTGACGGTTCATTCTGCTGTGGCAACCTCTGATAATTAAAGGTACTAAGCCGAAAAGAAAATGAATGAATAATGATAGTGAGTATGCATGTGTGTGTGTGTGTGTGTGTGTGCATGCGTGTGTGCGTGTGTGTGTGTGCTGTTTACCGAGTGTGTCGCACTTGTCTTTGGCTCTGCAAATGTCCTCCCTGTAGATCAGAACAGAATAGATCAAGGTCATTAATGTAATATTAATGAGCGGCAGGGTCAGGGTCAGGGGTCAGAGGTCACCTGGTGATGAGCAGCGCCGTGTCATGGTGTGAAGGGTCGCTGTCGTCTGCTGAGTTCTGGCTCTGCTGCCACACACAGAAGTTATGAAGAGTCGATGTGGCCAACAGACTTACATTCGGCCCTTCCTGACAAAACACACACACACACACACACACACATATGTACATACACATGCATGTACACACACGCACAAAAAATTATATATAAATATAAGCAATATCACATGAGTAGCAGTGCAATGTGGCTGTATATCAACACGTGCGTTGCCTTAGTGGTCCCACCAGTGACGATATAAAGCCACATCGCACTGCTACTCATGTGATATTGCGTTTATACAACAGTTTGACGGTACAATCGTATGTATAAAAAAGAAAATCAAACATGGACTCTCAAAACTCTTTTGTAAGAGGAACTACTTTCTTCCACCATTCATTCACATCTGCAGCTGACGTTAGAATAGCATTACTGTAGAGCTAGTGTTTGAATGATTCTCTAGCGGAATGTCTAAAGTGAAGACAAAACAGCTGATTTTGTTCACGTTCTAAGGTTATAAGGCTGAACAGCATGAAATGCCATCAGTCTACAGAGATCTCCCAGTGTTGCTCTGCTGCAATCAGGAGATCACAATAATGAACCCTTAAAAGCCAAAGCAAAGCGAACGCAAGCAGATCACTGTTGTGTTTGAGATAAGGAAAAACACTAAACACATGCGGGCATTTCTTCTGTCTTTGTTTACTGAACTAGTCTGCAGTATTACATTCCTAATATGCGAGTCCCATCTCACACTCAACACACTACAATTACTGTGGTATAAATACAGCACTATAACATACGAAAGACAGAGATTGACTTAGAAAGTCAGTGACATGTTTATTAATGATTTGATCAATTTAAATGCTGGGTTTTTCCTCCTCTAAATGGCTTATTATGCTATCTCTGTCGGCATCTTGTGGATGAACATTGTCAACCGTCTTTGCTCGAAAACAGGCCAATGGCCGCCAACATGTCTCTCAGGAATGATAAATATTTAAAATAGGCACTACTCATATAAATAAACTGCATTGCTGCAATCTAAACGACTACATTCTCCACTAAAATAGCCTCAAAAGTACATGATGTTGTCCAACAGCTGCAATATTTGTCAAAGTGTAGAGTGTCCTCTGCTTGTTGCTGTATGTGGGCGGAGTAATACACAAGGCTGAAGGGTGAAGAGGCTGGACGAGTGCTGTTACTGGCAGAATATCGCACGACTATCAGCCAATCAGATTCAAGAACCAGACAGAACTGTTGTATAAATATATTAATTGTTGATTATAAATAACTGGCAGCATTTTTATTGTATTCTTCAACAATTAGATGAGTTACAAATCAATTTAAAAACAATTGTAAACTAATGTTTTATGATGAAACGCCCTCATATCATCTTAGTTAACAGTATTTGACATATGTATTTGTCTATATACTGTATTGTGTTTACCTGTTCATTATGGATGACGATGAGTTTGACGATCATGATGTTGATCAGGTTTCCCACACTCGGGTCTCTGTAGATCGAGGCCACCTTTAGAAAAACAGAACAACACTGATTACCCATCAGCCCCAGCTCTCTCTGATTACCCATCAGCCCCAGCTCTCTCTGATTAACCATCCCACCTTGCTCTCTCAGATTACCCATCAGCCCCTGCTCTCTCTGAACACTACTATATAATCTTGCAGTCCAAAAAATCACTGACCCTCATCCAACACGCACGCACGCGCTCACACACACACACACAGTTTAAAAGTTCAAAATGGACTGACGGAGGCTTTTCATTGGCTGAGGAAACATGAAAACATTAGCAGCACACTTACACCCAATCAGATCACATTCCTAAATTAGCCTAAAGTTCCAAATATTAAACAGATCAATTAGATTAAACACAACATTTAAGGGGAAAATGTATAAAATGATATTTAAGAAATAATCAATTAAAATTATTTATGCAATAATAATAATAATAATAATAATAATAATAATAATATAACAACAATAATAATAACAACAATAATAAATAAATAAATAAATAAATAAATAAATAATATTAATAATAATAATAACAACAACATTATAATAATAATATAATAAGAAGAATATTAATAATAATAAACCAATAATTATAAAAATAATATAATAATATGAATAATAAAATAATAATAATAATAATAATAATACAATAATATAATAATAGTAATAATAATAATAAGATAAAAAAAATTATAAATTTATATTTAATACCCTCAATACAAATTGTGATTACTAAATTATTGATGACTATTGCTAGATTTTTGACAAATATTGCAAAATTATTGATAATTATTGATGATTGATTCTGATTATTGATGATTGTTGATTATTGATGGATTATTGATGGATTAACAATGTTTATTAATGGATTTTTGATGACTATTGCTGAATTATCAATAACAAATTTCTGGATTATTGATTATTAGTGATGATTATTGTTAGATTGCTGATGATTAGCGATGAATATCAATAATTATTTATGGATTATTGATGATTATTGATGGATTATTGATTTATCATTGCTAGATTAATGATGGTCAGTGATGAATACTGATAATTATTGACGGAATATTGCTGGATCACTGATGGTTAGTGATGATTATTGCTGTGTTATTGCTGGATGTTTTATGATTATTGATGGATTATTAATGGATTAACAATGATTATTGATGGATTTTCGATGACTAGGGATGATTATTGCTAGAGTGTTGATGATTAGTGATACATTTTGATAATTGTTGCTGGATTGTTGCTGATTATTGGTTGATTATTGATTATTGATGTACAGGGAGGAGAATAAGGCTGATCTACTTACTACTGACATGATAGTGAGGATGTAGTGCTCCAGGTTTGCTCCGTGGTGTTTCAGCATCTTCACATCCGCCGTCACCATCAGCTCTACGAATCGCGGGTACGACAGAAATCGCTTGCGTCTGGAGGAGTGTGTGTGTGTGGAGCCAGGGGAGTGTGTGTGCAGCGCTGACACATGCTCGTGCAGACTGCTGTTAGCGGACAGATGGACGTCACCACTGAACACTGCATCTGAGGATCAATACAACACACAAACAAGCACCAGGACAATTAGAAACACAGCCGTTTCTTCAATATAATACATAAACAGGTTTAGTGAATACATTAAATCATTATTCCCTTTGTTAAAGTAATGGTGTTGTGACACTGATAAAGACTAAACAGGAGCAAGAACAATAGTGCAGCTGAATTAGCAGAGGAAAACACACACATTTCCTCAGAGCAGAGACTGTAGATGAATGAACTGTAATCTGAATGGACCCTCATGGCTCTCCGTCGGCCACCAGCGCAACAAAGAGACACATGATGAGCTGACGACAAGATAACGCTCAGATAATGCTCAGATAACATTCAGGTAATGCCAGCATGTCCACCAGCCGCTCTGCTCTGACAGTAACAAACACACTGCACAAGCTGCAGCATCACTGTCTATATGGCTTTATTCATATCTGATGACATTATAATAATAAAAATAATACAATTTAGTAATGCAAGACTAATACGAGACTAAAGTTAGACTAATATAAGGTTAATGTGAGAATGAGACCTATATAAGACTAATATGAGACTACTACTATGAGACTAAGACGTGATTAATGAGAAATGTGAGCCTTATACAAAACTAATGAGACTAATACAAGAATAATAAATCTAATATGCGATTAATGGGACCAAAATGAGACTAATACGAGACTAATGTTACACTAATATAAGGTTAATGTGAGAAGGAGACTTATATGAGACTAATATGAGACTACTACAATGAGACTATACAAGATTAATGAGAAATATGAGATTAATACCAAAATAGTGAGACTAATACAAGAATAATAAGTCTAATAAGCGACTAATGAGAGCAAAATGAGACTAATACGAGACTAATATTAGACTAATACAAGGTTAATGTGAAAATGAGACTTATATGAGACTAAAATTAGTCATATAAGACTAATGAGATTAATAAGAGATTTATGAGACTAATATGGAAATAATATGACTAATACTAGTTTTATGAGACAAATATGAGAGTAATACGAGCCTTATACGAAAGTAATGAGACCAATACAAGACTGAAAAGTTTAATATGATACTAATGAGACCAAAATAAAATTAATATGAGACTAATGAGTCTAATGTGATACTAATGAGACTAATGAGATTAAAATGAGACTAATAAAAGTCAAATGAGGCTAAAATGAGAGTAATACGAGCCTAATACCAAACTAATGAGACTAATACAAGAATAATAAGTCTTATATGCGACTAATGATACCAAAACGAGACTAATACGAGACTAATATTAGACCAATATAAGGCTAATGTGAAAATGAGACTTATATGAGACTTATATGAGACTAATGAGATTAATACGAGATTTATGAGACTAACATAAGGATAATATGAGAATAATATGACTAATACTAGATGTATGAGACAAATATGAGAGTAATACTAGCCTAATACCAAGCTAATAAGACTAATAAGTTTAATATGATACTAATTAGACCAAATTGAGACTAATATGAGAGTATTAAGACTAACATAAGACTAATATGAGACTAATGAGTCTAATACGATACTAATGAGATTAATATAATACTAATGAGACAAAAAGTAAATTAATATGAGACTAATAAGAGTAACGAGAGAGAAATACAAGTGGAAAATGAAACTAATGAGACTAATACAAGACTAATGAGACTAATATGAGACTAATGAGATTAACATGAGACTAATACAAGTCAAATGGAGTTATTTTGAGAGTAACACAAGCCTAATACCAAACTAATGAGTCTAATACAAGAATAATAAATCTAATATGCGACTAATGAGACCAGATTAAGACTTATATGAGACTAATATTAGACCAATACAAGGCTAATGTGAAAATGAGACTTATATGAGACTAATGTGAGAATAATGAGACTAATACTAGATTTATGAAACAAATATGAGAGTAATACGACCCTAACACTAAACTAATGATATTAATACAAGACTAATAAGTTTAATATGATACTAATGAGACCAAAATGAGACTAATATGAGACTAATGAGAGTAATATGAGAGAAATACAAGAGGAAAATTAATTAATGATTCTAATATGATACTAATGAGACTAACATAAGACTAATGAGACTAATATTAGACTAATATTAGACTAATGAGATTAAAATGAGACTAATACATGTCAAATGAGGCTACTATGAGAGTAATATGAGTCTAGTACAAAACTAATCAGACTTATACAAGACTAATCAGTCTAATACAAGACTGAGACTGAGACTAAAATTAGAATAATATGAGACTAAAATGAGGCTATTGAGACTAATATGAGAGTAATAAAATAGTATGTCATCAATATAAGGATAATATGAGACTAATATGAGACTAATAAAAGACTACTGAGACTCACATAAGACTAATGAGACCAATATGAGGATAATATGAGACTAAATGGATAATATGAAACTACTACGAGAGTAATATGAGACTAAATGAGAACTAATGAGACTAGTTTGAGAGTAATTTGAGAGCAGTATGAGATTAATATGAGACCCAACTGAGAATTGAGACTGATATGAGACTATAATGCAAGCAATACAAGAGTAATATGAGACCACAATGAGGACAGTATGAGACTAATATGATAATATGAGACTAACACGAGACTAATATGATAATATGAGACTAACACGAGACTAATATGATAATAGGAGACTAACACAAGAATAATATTGGACTAAGACTAATATGAGTCTAATATAAGACTAATTTAAGACAAACATTTAGTGTAATATGAGACTGAAATGAGACTTATTTGAGCCTACTTTCGAACATCCCCAGCTGAAGATCAGACTGAGTGTGTGTGATGTTCCTAATCAGCCGATTAGAGACAGACAAGAGCAGAAAGAGACACAAACACTGACCCGGATCTCGTGACAATCACTGCACTGATCAACATGCGGCAGAAAAACACCCTCATCTACTGCGTTCAGCTCAACACACTCATGACGGAGGAGAAATCACACTGATCCAGCACACACACACACACACACACACACACACACACACACACACACACGTAAACACTAATATAAATGAACAGATATCAGTCACTGCATGCATTGCAGTTTACTAATGCAATTTATATAGTTTATAATTAAATAAACTATATTTAAAAATATAGTGATAATTAAAAATGTCTTTAGTTTTTGATTTTTAGTAAGCATACTTTTTTTTCTTGCCATAATAAATGATATATTTGTAGAGCAAACCCAAGTTCTGTTGTCATTAATATTTTAATAAGCTTTAATAGGTAGAACTGTCCAAGATATGAACAGAAGCAAGCGATGCATCAACATTTGATTTAAAGAATCAATAAGATAATTTATAAAATAATCAGTTTATCAATCTTGAACAATATCAATGATGAGACGTACATCCGGAAACTTCCTACTTCTCCGTTTATCTGTTTCTTTTCACTGCCCGCTGTCGTTTTAAAGAATCACAACGGCGAACGCATCAAGCTAGAGGTCTGCATTCTTCCCAATAAATTTCCGAATAAAATAAAAATTAATTAGCTTGTTTGTTGCTGTGTGTATATGTGTGTGCGCACGCGCGAATGAGAGTGAGAGAGTTTTGTCTGTGTGTGTGCTTGGTACTTGTATGTGTGTGTGTGTGTGTGTTTATACAGACAGCTTGTTATAGGCTGTCTGGACTCTGTATAGCTGGGTGGTTTTCGGTTTTGTTCTTCCCCCCTGCTCTTTAGCGGGATTGGGCGCGGCGGGTAGAAAACGAGGCGGGTCAGGCAACGGGACAACAAATGCTGAATGTAAGTGGGAGCGATTGGGTTCGGGCTAAAACCTGGCGGGCGCGGGATTCAAAATTTAATCCCGCGCAGATCTCTACATCAGGCCTTGTCCGTTTCACGAGGTGCGTGCGCAGTCAGCGGAGATGCGCGATGCTGCTCCAGGCGAAAGTATAAATCCAGCTTTAGTGAGGCTGACTGTAGTATTGCTAACCTAGAGCACCCAGAGGAAATACTGCACTGTCTGGCTGCTAGTTGTTATAGTTTCTTTGTGTTTGTGAATTCACTTGTAATTTCAGAGTAAATCCGTTTCTACATCAGGGTTTTCTGTGTGATGACTCGTGTTTAAATGACGATGAGCTCATGATTAAATGAGCCCGCATTAGACGTGCGCTGATGTAAGTGTGTATTGGGTTGCAGGGTGTTGTCGGGAGGTATTTCCAGAGCTGTGTGTGTGTGTCTGCTCTCCAACACCTCCAGCAGAGTCTGTCCTGAAATAAACACTGATAACTGAATCGCTCTTCTCTCGCTGAGGTTAGATCAAATGTCCACTTCAGCTCAAATTCATCACAGCTAATCTACAACAGACCCAGATGAGGCACGCTTTGTGTCCGAACACACTCAAGAGCTGTGTTATTGTTATGCTCTATGAATCTAGAAAGGCAACACGGTGGCTCAGTGGTGTTGCACTGTGGTCTCACTGCAAGAAGGTCACTAGTTCGAGTCCTGGCTGGGTCAGTTGGTGTTTCTGTGTGGAGTTTGCATGTTCTCCCCGTGTTGGTGTGGGTTTCCTCCGGGTGCTCTGGTTTCCCCCACTGTCTAAACACATGCGCTATAGGGGAACTGATCAACTACACTGGCCGTAGTGTATGAGTGTGTGTGTGAATGAGTGTGTATGGGTGTTTCCCAGTACTGGGTTGCAGCTGAAATGGGCATCCGCTGTGTAAAACATAAGCTGGAATAGTTGGCGGTTCATTCCGCTGTGGTGACCCCAGATAAATCCGAGCCGAAGCAAAATGAATGAATTAAAATGCTTCTGCATGACTCAAAGCTCAAGTCTTCCCCGAACCCAGCTCCTGGTCTGATTGTTCATCCTCCTGTGTTTTGCAGACAGTCGGATGCTCTTCAAAGCCTCCAGTATCTGAGCATCACAGACTCGTGCGCTGTTATCAGATTGAAACAAAGGCAGATCAGCTCTTTTCATCCTCATCAAGGCTTTGATGCTCAGCGCAGATCCAGGGTCACATCTCCACAACACTGCTGCAGAGGTGTGCAGATCTTCAGAGGGAGATTTCTCCATCATTACAACAGCACACACACACACACACACACACACACACACACTGCAGCTCTGAGCTCTATGATCAGCATTACAGCACAGTAAAAGCTGGTAAATCTGTCTCCCACATGCAGACGATGATCCTTTAGACTCTTTTAAAATCAAGTCAAAGCTATTCTACTTCGATTAAACACACACATTCTTCATGTGTGTGTGTTTTTGTCTTTTTGCTAAGTCTGCTGTCTGCAAACACAAGAATTACTTCAGAATTCAAAATAAAGTTACTTCCATTTAAATCATTATACAATACTTATGATGATTCCTGATGATGTCATGATTTCTGATTTCTCCGATGATTTTGACTGATCTATCTCTATCTCCAGTGAATTCACGAGATCTGATATCTCTAGTGATTTCAAGATTCTGATATCTCCAGTAATGTTGAATGATTTCTAATATATACAGTGATTTCATGATTTCTGTTATCAGTAGTGTCTTCTGATATCTCTAGTGATTTCATGATTTTACTATTTCCAGTGATTTCATGGCTTCTGATATGCCAATCACTAGTGTTTTCTGATATCTCTAGTGATTTCATGATTTTACTATTTCCAGTGATTTCATGGCTTCTGATATGCCAATCACTAGTGTTTTCTGATATCTCTAGTGATTTCATGATTTTACTATTTCCAGTGATTTCATGGCTTCTGATATGCCAATCACTAGTGTTTTCTGATATCTCTAGTGATTTCATGATTTTACTATTTCCAGTGATTTCATGGCTTCTGATATGCCAATCACTAGTGTTTTCTGATATCTCTAGTGATTTCATGATTTTACTATTTCCAGTGATTTCATGGCTTCTGATATGCCAATCACTAGTGTTTTCTGATATCTCTAGTGAATTCAAGATTCTAAAATCTTCAGTGATTTTGAATGATTTCTGATATCACTAGTATTTTCTGATATCTCCAGTGATTTTGAGTGATTTCTAATATCTACAGTAATTTTGAGAGATTTCTGATATCACTTGTGTCTTCTAATATCTCTAGTGATTTCAAGATTCTAAAATCTCTAGTGATTTTAAATGACTTTTAATATCTCCAGTGAATGCTGGATTTATACTTTCTGATATTTCTGTGATTTCAAGGTTCTAAAATATCCAATGATTTTAATGATTTCTGATATCACTAGCATTTTCTGATATCTTGTTTTTAATATCTCCAGTGATTTCATGAATTCAATGATTTTGAATTATTTCTAATATCTTCAATGATTTTGAGAGATTTCTGATATTGCAAGTGTCTTCTGATATCTCTAGTAATTTCATGATTTTAATATCTCCAGTGATTTCATGACTTTTGATTTCTCCAATGATTTTGAAGGTTTTCTAATATCTTCAGTGTTTTTAAAAGACTTCTGATATCACTTGTGTCTTCTGATATATCTAGTGATTTCATGATTTTATTAACTGCAGTGATTTCATGACTTCCGATTTCTCTATCACTATTGTTCTCTCATATCTCTAGTGATTTCAAGATTCTAAAATCTCTAGTGATTTTAAATGACTTTTATTATCTCCAGTGAATGCTGAATTTATACTTTCTGATATCTCTGTGATTTCAAGGTTCTAAAATATCCAGTTATTTTAAATGATTTCTGATATCACTAGCATTTTCTGATATCTTGTTTTTAATATCTCCAGTGATTTCATGAATTCAATGATTTTGAGAGATTTCTAATATCACAAGTGTCTTCTGACATCTCTAGTAATTTCATGATTTTACTATCTCCAGTGATTTCCTGACTTTTGATATATCCAATGATTTTGAAGGATTTCTAATATCTTCAATGATTTTGACAGATTTCTGATATTGCAAGTGTCTTCTGATATCTCTAGTAATTTCATGATTTAATATCTCCAGTGATTTCATGACTTTTGATATCTCCAATGATTTTGAAGGATTTCTAATATCTTCAGTGATTTTAAGAGATTTGTGATATCACATGTGTTTTCTGATATCTCTAGTGATTTCATGATTTTAATATCTCCAGTGATTTTGAAAGATTTCGGATATTTCTGGTGATTTCAAATGATTTTTGATATCTCCTGTGAGTTCTAATATCTCTAGTGGTTTAGAGAGATTTCAGATACTTCCAGTGATTTCTTCATATATGATATCTCCTATCATTTAGAGCAATTTCTGATATCTCCAGTGATTTCATAATTTCTCCTGTGATTTCCCTTTTTTCCTCCAGTGATTTCAAGTATCTAATATCTTCAGTGATTTCTGAAATGACTAGTGGTTTAAAAAAAGATTTCTGATATTTCCAGTGATTTCACAGTTTCTTATATTTTCAGTCATTTAGATCAATATCTGATATCTCCAGTACAGATATTTTTGATATGTCATGTAATTTCACGATTTCAGATATCTCTTGTGATTTTAGGCAATTTCTGGTATTTTTAATTGATTTTGTAGATTTATAATATTTCCAGTGATTTCATGATTTTTAATATCTACAGTGATTTCAAGATTTTTTAATATCTCCAGTGATTTCATGATTTTTTTTATATATCAGGTGATTTCTTGATTTTTAATATTTCCAGTGATTTCATGATTTTTAACATTTCCAGTGATTTCGTGATTTTTAATATCTCTGGTGATTCCATGATTTTTTTATATATCTTAGTGATTTCAAGATTTTTAATATCTCCGGTGATTTCATGTTTTTTTATATGATTTATATGATAGTGATTTCATGATTTTTTTATATCTCATGCGATTTCATGATTTTTTAATATCTCTGGTGATTTCATGATTTTATTTATTTTAGGTGATTTCATGATTTTTAATATTTCCAGTGATTTTGTGATTTTTAATATCTCTGGTGATTTCATGATTTTTAATATATCAGTGATTTAATGATTTTTAATATATCCGGTGATTTAATGATTTTTTTATATCTCAGTGATTTCATGATTTTAATATCTCAGTGATTTCATGATTTTTAATAGCTCAGTGATTTCATGATTTTTAATATCTCAGGTGATTTCTTGATTTTTAATATCTCTGGTGATTTCATGATTTTTAATATCTCTAGTGATTTCTGACATCATGTGCATCATAAAGTAGCAAATGGTTCTGAAGGTTGATCAGTCACACAGAGTGTTTGTGTGTGTGTTAATTCTAGATGACGGTTATTTCAGCTTAGTGGAGCTGCTTTACTTTCATTAGATGAAGAATTCCAATAAGCAGCTCATAATGAAGAGGTTAATCCTCAAAACAACTGCACTGCCAAAGAAACACACACACACACACACACACACACCCTCAGCGCTTACACACATTCACAACACTGCCAGGCTGAAGTATGAGTGTTAACCTGATGTGTGTGTGTGTGTGTGTGTGTGTGTGTGTGTGTGTGTGTGTGTGTGTGTGTGTGTGTGTGTGTGTGTGTGTGTGTGTGTGTGTTTACCTGTAGTGTGGCACTTCTCTGTGTGTTGTGTATGGTGTTTGTACACCAGATGAGGTTTGTTGTGCTCCTCCTCAAACTCTTCTCCATCAGCGCTCAGCAGTGGCTCCAGAAAGAACTGACCGCTGTGTGTGGTGAACGTGCCGATCTGGAAAGAAAACAACACACAATCAGTCAAAAAGACAAAATACACACCCACAGACAGAACGAATACAGTAATATACACTTCAAGAGTTCACACTTAGCTGATGATTTACAAAGCTTATTTGGCATGCTGTCCCGGGAGAGAGCCCCGAGCTCAAGGGCTCCTCGAGCCCGGGGCTTCCTCCCGTTGGCAGAGCAAGAAGGGAGCCTGAGCTCGGTGGATGTCAGAACTCCCCTGCCGCTGTAGCTAAGGGAACGTAAGGAATTAGACCAGCTTGATTGTTAAGTATGTTAAATGTCTTTGGATGGTGGGAGGAAACCGGAGAGCCCGGGGAAAACCCACGCGGACACGGGAAGGACATACAAACTCCCCACAGAAACACTCACCGGTCCTATCGAACTAGGACCGGCAGTATTCTTGCTGTGTGGTTCACAGTGCTAACCACTGGACCGCCGTGCCGCCCAATTACAGGTAAAGGAGGAGAATAGGGGAGGAGGGGGGTTTCTTCCAAACGAAGATAAAGTGAACTGAAAACTTAGACTATTTATGGTGCCTTAGGGCTCATATGATTGGAAGATTAGTGATTAGCAAATGCGAGACTGGACGTGATAAATCATAAGCACGTGATCCTCTCGAAATTAGTTTATGAATAAACTTCACTTCAAGAGTTCACACTTAGCTGATGATTTACAAAGCTTATTTGGCATGCTGTCCCGGGAGAGAGCCCCGAGCTCAAGGGCTCCTCGAGCCCGGGGCTTCCTCCCGTTGGCAGAGCAAGAAGGGAGCCTGAGCTCGGTGGATGTCAGAACTCCCCAAAATGCAGAAATTAATCGCTCGGGACAGCAGCCGCGTATTCGAAGAAAAAAACCCCCCAAAAGGCAGGAAATTTAGAGCTATATCCGGCTGCTGGATATAATAGAAGGAAAGAGGTTAAATGCATGGGCATTAATTAGATAGGATTAATAAGGGTGAAAAGAGGATTCTGATAACTCTTGCTGGAGTTAGGAGTTTGAAGGAACCCCTGCGGGGTTCATGGTTTTCGGGGTTAAGAAGAAGTGGAGAATAGGTGGTTTGAAGCAGTGGAAAGAGAACTTTGAGTGAATCTTGTGGGAGTTGGAGCTCTAAGTGACCCCTGCGGGGGCCAGAGTAGAGTGAAGGTATGGAGCAGAGAGTGGAGGAGAGTAGCTCTTACGAAAGATGGAGCTTTGTGAGAGTTTGAGTTTAGAGCGGCCTCTGCGGAGGTTAGAGCTTGAGGGTAGGGTGTAGATAGGAGTGACCTCTGCGGAGGTTAGAGCTTGAGGGTAGGGTGTAGATAGGAGCGACCTCTGCGGAGGTTTGAGCTTGAAGGTAGGGTGTAGATAGGGGTGACCTCTGCGGAGGTTTGAGCTTGAGGATAGGGTGTAGATAGGAGCGACCTCTGCCGAGGTTTGAGCTTGAAGGTAGGGTGTATATAGGAGTGACCTCTGCGGAGGTTTGAGCTTGAAGGTAGGGTGTATATAGGAGTGACCTCTGCGGAGGTTTGAGCTTGAAGGTAGGGTGTAGATAGGAGTGACCTCTGCGGAGGTTTGAGCTTGAGGGTAGGGTGTAGATAGGAGTGACCTCTGCGGAGGTTTGAGCTTGAGGGTAGAGTGTAGATAGGAGTGACCTCTGCGGAGGTTTGAGCTTGAGGGTAGAGTGTAGCTAGGAGCGACCTCTGCGGAGGTTTGAGCTTGAAGGTAGGGTGTAGATAGGAGTGACCTCTGCGGAGGTTTGAGCTTGAGGGTAGGGTGTAGATAGGAGTGACCTCTGCGGAGGTTTGAGCTTGAGGGTAGGGTGTAGATAGGAGTGACCTCTGCGGAGGTTTGAGCTTGAGGGTAGGGTGTAGATAGGAGCGACCTCTGCGGAGGTTTGAGCTTGAAGGTAGGGTGTAGATAGGAGTGACCTCTGCGGAGGTTTGAGCTTGAGGGTAGGGTGTAGATAGGAGTGACCTCTGCGGAGGTTTGAGCTTGAGGGTAGAGTGTAGATAGGAGTGACCTCTGCGGAGGTTTGAGCTTGAGGGTAGAGTGTAGCTAGGAGCGACCTCTGCGGAGGTTTGAGCTTGAAGGTAGGGTGTAGATAGGAGTGACCTCTGCGGAGGTTTGAGCTTGAGGGTAGGGTGTAGATAGGAGTACTCTGCGGAGG